GCAATTATAGGCGAAAGGCATTAAATGTCATTCCATTTACAAGAGAATATATAGAAAAATAGCAGAAATATGAGTGGAACAATATCTGTAATAACCATGTACTATAATTTTTATATATACTATAGAATAAATAATAGATATACTATTAATTCTATAGTTTATATAAAAATAACTGTATGAGTTTATAATAGATATTGTTTCTCTCTTAAGCACTATTCTGTTACTTAACATTATAGCGTTTAGAGAAATTTCGGAAGAAAGTGATAATAATAAATTCTTTGTTAATTTGTTTTATTATTAACACAATTGTCTTTCAATAACTTTCATGCGATGTATATGTAGGGTAAATTATATGTTTGTTTGAACAAAATGACTGTAGCATTTTTGGTTCACAACAATTTTTTACAGTGAATAATCTTTCTCTCGATATATAGGGGAATATCTCACGGTGTACCAGTTCAATTAGTGAAGTTCTCTACAGCATTTTGCGATATGTTAAGAAATGCTTTACAAGAGCCTGGTTACAGGCTCCTCGGGGAGGTATGCAGATCTGAAGTCAATTATTGCTTAGTCTAATGAAATGATAAATAATAATCCAGTCAAAGCGTAGAGTTTATGAAGAAACCATGCAGTTAATAGAGAGTAAAAGTGCTCAAGTACACTGACTTAACTAGCCTCAACATAATAATTCTTCGAATTAAATAAGTGTAGAAAAAAAACACTTTTATTAACAAATTATCACACTCAGTGGTATATAGAAAGGGACCGGAAAGTGATCGAAACTAACCACAACACAATCCCCTCAAAGAAAATATTTAATTTTATTTTACATTAGTTAAATGTATTTCTCTCAATTACAAGTTTTTATATGAAATTGGAATTAGCTCCCGAAAGGCCCCTCAAATGAGTCTCCATGTACGCCCCTCCTCTTGCTATGAAGACCACAACTCAAGCACATCGAAGCGAAGCATTTGCGTGGAAAGGAACGCACTCAGCAGAAGTACATAAAACCGACAAAAGCAATTAATAAACAATTTTTGAATAATTTAAATAATTTTTTTTTATTCTTTAACCTTCTTTTTATTGTACATTTTATTTACAGGTTAAAGTAAATATCCACAAACATCCACGGCTAATTAAATACACCCATCAACCGCACTTCACATGTCCATTGACAGATATTGAACTCAATGAAAAAAAAACAACAACAACAACAACAGTATTTTTAATGTAAAAACAATTTAAAAAAAAAAAAGACGGAAAAAACTTGACCCTTCGAAATAAAAAAATTAATGCTGACGTTTGCATAAAAATTATTATTAATTTTTGATGATTGAATTTTAATAATTTTTTTACTTTCTAAATTTTACATACCTGCATTAATTAAATTTCCGTTTTATAACTACTACAATTATTTACATTTATTATGGAATGTTCTACTTTTCATGCGCTTGTCAGTCTTTTAAATTGCAACGTACTAGCAAAAATAACAATAACAACAACAACAAGACAATCGAATTTGTTATATGCAACGAAATTGCAAAAATGTAAACAAAGGATTCGTACAATATAAACCCACTGTAATTTATTAATTTAAATTTAATAACATTTAACACAACTTGATATTTTTCTAATACTATTTTCTCACAGCTGATTATGCGAAAAATGAATTAATTCGAAAATCAAGAAACACAAAAATAATAACACAGCAAAAGCGGCAAATTTATCCGCCGCACTCGTTCGTAACCACACACAATCGCACGAAAAGTTGAAAACTAAAAGCACCAACAATAATTCTAATTGGAAGCAGTACTAGTATAACACTTAACCAGTGTTATACATCAAAATGTATAACAGTTGACAATTATATGCTACCAGATGTGGTATTTATGATAACTGCCATACGTATTATGCTGTGTACGACTTCAAGTAAATTGAGGTAAAGTATACTGAAATTTCCTAGGGATTTTTGGCACTACACTTATGTAAATATTTATTTATTTATTTTTTACACTTATTATTTTTGGTTAAAAGTTTTCAAATTCATTTATAAAATTTCCACAATGGTAACACCTAATTTATCTAATTTACCCTAAGGGCCATGTCTTTTAGGAGCAAATTACTACATTTCTAATACGTTTTGGAAAAAATTGCAGTAAGCCTTATTTTATAAATCACTAATAATATAATTATTACATTATTATTATTAAAAAAACTCGTAAGTACTGATAACGTTTATTATAAGCCAATAAAATAATAAATTAATATTATTACTGCCTCTATGAGTTTTTTCTTTTTAGTTATTTTTGATAGCAAATTGAAAGCAGCTAAATTTCCTTTTAAATTTAAGCACATCCAAGAAATAGTAAAAATACAAAATTGGCAATACTAATATGACAGTGCATAACACGCATTTTCGACATAGCCCGAAAGAGCGAATTTTGTTGTGCCCGAGACACTCTGTATAATATGGTCCTAATCGAAATTCTGGTAAATACCAACATTCGCCATATCGACATAATTTATTATTTCCCTCAATTTACCATATATTTACTCGAACTCCCACACGACCTTAATAACAATGTAAAATGAGTTTGAAGAAATATATTATAAATCTTAATTTCGTCTTCGTTTTGGCAAAATTAAGTTGTTTTTTCCATATAAAATTCAGTTTTATGGTTAGAACAAAATAAAAAAAAACGGCCTTAATTTCATTGAAACGAAGGCTAAAATTAAAAGAACTTCATAAGCATCTACGCGAAAAATAAATTTTAAGCAAAAGAAAAGTTGAGGTAACGAAAAAGTGACATTTATTTTTAAGAACAGCTTTAATAAAGCCGGGAAAATATTTTGAAAGTAATGCAAATTTTTAAATTTGAATATGGAGATAAAACTGTAATTGTTATTAATTTAAAATAGAGTGAAACATAATAATATACATATCTAAAATCCACTGAAACTAATAAAACTACAAAACTACTGCCATTTTTTATAGTTATAATAATCAAGAACAAGGTTATTATAACTATATAACTATTATATATTATAGAACAACAACCATATGATTTTCTTAATTTGGAGCAGTATGAACACTTTTCAAATTACCTTAATTTCGTTTTAACAAAGTTAAGGGAATTTGACTGTCTAAGCAAAGTATAATACTTGTATCATGATTAAAAATTATTATAATAAATAATGTTTATTGCTAATAGAAGTTATATTTTATTATAGTCCACTTTAATGTGTAATAAAATAATTTGTTTATTTCTGAAACAATTGATTTTTTATCAAAGCATTATAAAAAAAAATATCTTTAGAAATATTTATATTAAAATTAACATAATTAAATGATATAGCCAACAGCATGTTCAATAAATGTCATGCAATTGTTTCTGTAGATATATTGCAATACCGGATTTAATGCCATTTAAACACAAGGTTGTATTCTTTTAAGTTAAAACTCTTTTAAGAAATAATAATGAAAATAAAGTTTGTTTTAAAAAAGTTATAATATGTTTGAGTCATTAAAAATAGATTTGTTATTATATTGAAGCAAAATAGCCAGCTTAAACAGGTTTTTTGAACAATTATATTACTTTTATTTATTGCATTAAATCACTGCTGGCTTTAACGGGCTATAATAACACTTTTTTTTTCTTAACATTACGTTTACATTAATTCAATATATATTTTTATGGCATATTGTGTCATTTTTTAAATAAAATCCATACAGGCAAATCCATACGTAGCAAATTTTTTACATCATTCTGCACAACATTTTCCTACACTTATTTAATTCCACAATTTTGTAGTATTTCACCAAAATAGCAACTGTCAAATAATACACCAGCTTGGGAACACTAGCGAATCTGTCATTCTTTCCGTAAACCATTTTGATGCAAACAATTTCATAAATTTTCTCGGTGTTTAATTTATTACAAATTAATAAAAATGGATGACGATTTTGATAATGATGAGTAAGTTTATTTAATATTTGCATAATATAAAAGTTGTTATCAGTTGAAAATGGATTAAATTTATGTGATATACATTTTTTAGAGTTGGCGGTGATGAATTTGATGATGTCGATGAAGAGGACAACATCGATGACATTAACCAAGATGAAGAAGAAGATAACATTGAGATTATTGCACCAGGCAGTGCTGGTGGTGGTGTACCAAAATCTAAAAGAATTACCACAAAGTACATGACTAAGTACGAACGTGCGCGTGTACTTGGGACACGTGCCTTGCAAATTGCGATGTGTGCACCGATTATGGTAGAATTGGAAGGTGAAACGGATCCATTGCAAATTGCTATGAAAGAGCTTAAGCAGAAGAAAATTCCTATCATCATAAGACGTTATTTGCCTGATCATTCGTACGAAGATTGGAGCATAGATGAATTGACTATTGTTGATCATTAAATATTTAACGTCTTAGTTGTAAGATTTTTGCTACAATTGCCTTTAATATACGAAATTGATAACACATTAAAAACATGTAGCAATAATAAAATATAATCATTAAGTAATTTTAGATATAACATAAATTTTTTTATTTGTGCTTGATAAGCAGTGACAGGTAGCCCGCTTAGACACAAATTATGACCCAAAGTGATTGCTAATTATTATTTATAACTAGAAAGAGATACCATTATGAACGGATATTTAATTTTTCTTAGATAAACAATTTTTCTTTGGAGTTTTAAAATTTGTAGAGGTAGTAGAATATTATAAATTGCAATTGCAATTGCAATTTTCTCTCACTTGCAAACGTTAACTATTAAAAATACTTCTGCAATTAAAACTTCAGTTCATATATAAATAAATACATCAGATTTATATTTGTACAGGTTAATAAATAAAATTTTTGTTACATTAACTTAAACGGTACAAATTTTTATATTAGCTCCAAGCATAACCGCATTCTTTATCATAACATACACGCTCTAGCAAAGCAACTGAATATTGTCCAGTTCGACACATGCATTCAATAACCGCTTCATTTAAACCGCAATCACATAAACTACCCTGTTGAAATACTTGATGTGCATCTGTGCCTTCTGTAGTGTTCGTGTTGCTACAGTTTGGATCCTCTGTTAGTGCTTGTGTCGCCTTACTAAATGCTAAAGTATTATTACTGCTGGCTAGCGCAGCACTGAAGGTATTTTTAGTTTCTGATAATAATTGAAAAATATATGGCAAAAATGTTGGCAAAACAATTCCTTTAGCTTCGATACTATTATAGTCTACTCCATCCATTCGTACTTTATTTGAACGTAATGTTAGATGCTGCATAGTAGCTTTTGGAAATGCCACTGGTGCAAGTAACGTTGGTGGCACGCCAGCTAAACGTCCAATACTGCTAATAGTACTCTTAGCGTTAAGTAGGAAACTAAAGAATCCTTGGCATTCAACACCTTCGATTAATAGTAAAGAATTATCACTGAAATCCTCTGCCATTTCCTTTGCTTTAATTTTACGTGTGTGTGCGGTTTGTATTTTTCGTATTTCTTTTTCATCCACACCCAAACTTTCAAGCCATTCATCCTCTTCTTGTTCATCGTTACCACCTGTATTGACTCCTGAAAATGTATATGAAATTAATGATTTTTTGAAATTATTATATTAAGAATATAAAAGAATTAGATTAATAATTTATTATTTCTATTAAAGATTTTATATCCGATTATTTTATCATTTGAATGAGATGTTTTCAAACACATCTAGAACTAATATTTTTAAAATAAAAATGGGTTTAGAAGGCTACTAAACGTGTACTATATTGTAATCTCAATCAGATCTTAACTCCATACTTTAAGTACGATACATTTAAACAATAAAAGTAAGAAACTATATAAAATTTATAACCATAATCAAAATCCTGTAAATAAAAATACATGAAGTTTTAAATATTAACTATAGTAAATGAATTTATTGTAATGATTTTATTATTGTTTATATAGGAACTATTTATATTTGGTGGCAAAGAAGTAAGGATTTATACTGAGACAACTACATGTTGTTGTTGTAACCCGCAGGGATCTGAAAGCAGATAACATGAAATGAAACACAAGACGTTTACATGAGTAGGGAAGTGGGTGGGTAGAGGTTAGCGATGATGAAGGGGGAGGAAGGAGGATGTGGAGGAATTCGGTGGGAGGTTTATATTGAACACCATCCCATTATTACATCGTTCACTTTGCTGAGTATATAAGGCACCTGAACAAAAAATAATTGGATATAAGGTATTTAAGAAAATAACAGTGGACACAAATAAATAATAGAGAGACTACATGTCGATTATGCAAACCAACCGAAATATCACTCATTAGTTACGCAAACAGCAGTGAGCACATATAAATAATAGAGAGACTTATTTTTAATAATTCAACGCAAGTGTCCATTCTTTAACTATGCAAAACGAGCTGAAATCATTCACTATAGGCAAAAAATAAAAAATTGACTCCAGTCGGTGTTTTTCAGAATCTTCTAAATAAGGGTTTGAAGCCACGAACCAACTTGGTTCATGACATTATTCTGTGATAATTTTTAGGTACAGTGTTCCTTTTACTTTGGACATTGCTTATACATTTTGAAAGAAGATTATAAAATATTTAACGCGACCTGGTAAATAACACTACCAGTTCCTTTCTTTCCCAGCATTGCTTATATATTTTTAATTAACAATACGCAAAAAGTATATTTTAAATTGCAGCATAAAAATATAATATCGCATACCATCCGTCAATAGATTTTGACTTAACAAATATAAGTCGTTTATTCTGAAGGCTATGTTCTAAATGGTAAGTTTATTAAATTATATCAATATTTATTCATAAAAATATATGTAAAAGAAATCTAATAAACTTCACCTTCTTGGTCAGGATTTTCCACAGTAACAATACTCCCGCTTTCTTCCGAATAGTTACCATCAGCTGATCGATTTAAGCCTCCATCATTTTTTAGCGGCATTGTAAATTCTATACCTTCTTGTCTTAAATTACTGCGTATACCACGCGTTGACGGTGTCATTAGAGCATGCATTTCCGTACGTCCAGCAGTGCCCGCAGCTCTAAATAGCACAGTGAAAGTATTTGCGCAAACATAGAAATATGGACATTGTAATCCTCTCAGCAAATGAAATAAACCGTGGAAGCTAAAATCCCAATCTTCAGCCAGTGCTTTACGTTCACGTTCACCTATTGTTATACCAATGTTTTCTTTTGAATTACGCGGGAATAGTGTCATCCAAGGTAAGTGCGGATGTTGCCAATAGTAAGCAGCTTGATTGAAACGTGTTGCAGGTGATATATCCAACATGCCGTATTCATTTTGCGAGTAAATGCAACGCACAAAACTAGTAAGTCCACTGGCCATTTGTGAAGTCTTTAGCGTAGTTGTAGGTAAATCACTTTCACAAAAGATACGCACACGCGTCTTCAAACTCCAGTCCATGGGTAAATGCTTACTAAATATTTGTTCTTCAATTGCATCATCTTCATCAGCTTGATGTAAGAATTGCGAAAACGCATTTGAATCGAATGACTTTAAAACTAATTTTGCTGGTGCCACTTTGACAGGAGTTTCGCGTACAAAAGCCTCAGTAGTTGTCGCGTTTGTGTTTATAAATGCAAGCAAAGTGTCATCCTGCTCAAGCAACACCTGATCGTTTCGCGCCTTTTTGCTTTCATTCTCTGCTGATCTGTAGAGTAAATTAAGTTATTTTTTTTATGTGACTAAAGAGGAAATTGTGTTGCGGGTGTGATTACTTTGCAAACGGATTTTTGCGCTTCTGTGCTATTTTTGCCTCCAAGAGGCTCGCTTTATCCTCAAGAACTACATTTTCGTTGTTATTGGTTTGCTTAAATCGTGCGGCTAATTGTTTCTTTTTTTGCTTCAGTCGTTGTAATTTAATTAACTAAAAATTAATTATAAAATTAAATTAAATATAAAAAATAGTAAATTTTTGTGGTAAACCTCATTTGGACGTTTCCAATTTTGTGATATATTTTTGGTGTCAGTATTGGACATTTACAATTACAAACAAGTACGTTAATTAATAATTATTATAAATATAACTATGCTTTATTTAATTTCTAAATATTACAAAAAAACAAAAACTTAATCTACAAGCTGAATCACAAAACGCGCTAAAATCTTTGTATACAATGGATTTTTTTGTTGTTTTCTCGGTGACAGCAGTCGTATATACGATATTATAAGACAAGACAACGTTTTATCGTTTTGTTTATAATTAGTGTTGTGAAATACATTAGAAAAAATTTTATAATTTTTGTTAAAATTAATTAAGTTATAAATATTTCTATATTAGTTGTAATTGAATATTTGCGTTGCAGAGTTCTTATTATTAGACAGTAACATATAACTGATCACTCATAAAAAATTTGATTAATAATCTGACCTTCTTCTAGGTAGCGGAAACAGCTCCATATTTTTGAAATTCGTCTTAAGCTGTACCGTTCATGTCAGTCTCATCAGTACTGTCCTATCGAGAAAGACCATCTTTGAAGTCAGAAAGGTTTTCTTATTGAAAAGAGATGGTAATTAACCAATTAATTTCACAATAAGACTAGTGCAATGAATGGTTTGGCTGAACTCCATTCATGCAAGATTATCTATAGACTCAAAGCCATTGATTGAGCTCCATATTGTTCTATTTCGGCTTAAGCTGCACCGTTCTTGGCAGTCTCATCAGTACTGTTCTATCGAGAAAGACCCTCTCTAAAGTCAGAAAGATTTTCTTATTGAACAGAGACTGTAATAAATCAACTAATTCCAAAAAAGACTGTAGTGCAATGAATAGTTTGGCTAAACTTTATTCATACAAGATTATCTATAGACTCAAAGCCATTGATTTCAACATAAACATCAAAAGAAAACCTCGCAATATGTAATAAACCCTACCCCCTTCAATATCACACATTCTCCTTAACTCATGCCCTTGCTTTCTGATTTAGATGAACCTAATTCACTAGGTATTAAGTCTATCTACACACTCATCTCTCTCCTTTGATTACTGGAATGAAGTTTCCACATTGCCGTGGAAATTTTCTCCATTCATTCCTAAGAGGTGGTTTTAGTGGGTTCAAGTCTCACATCAAAAAAAAAAAAATAAAGTATATAAATATTTTAAAAGAAAAAAATAAAAAGAAAAATAATCATTCCATAAAATACAGGGCTTTTATAGGTTTTACTAATACTTATACCGATTATATATTCGTTAAAAAAAAAAAAATATATATATATATATAAATACATATATTATATATTCGTTTTATTTGGTCATATCGATAAATATACTTGTAAATTTTTTTTCTAATATCTTTGTGTCTATTTCCATTCAACTTATTTAAAAACTAAGAGCACAATTTGCATTGCAGCAAATAACCAGACGGTGATATTCATATCGGTTCGATTTTTCGAGCTAAACAGAAATTAAATATTTATGGAATATCGAATGTTGTCATCAGTGCTATACAAATATTTTGAAAACTAATATTTCGTTTCCACTGGGTTTGTTAAACTACTTACCTTACTTGAGAATCAAGAAATGCAAGCAATCTCAAGTAAATTAACTAATCTAACGAAGCCAGTGGAAACATATAATAAGACTCTTTCCACAAATTTTATTGAGAGTTTACAACATCCAACCCTTCAATAGTGGATTGCTACTTACGAAATCGATGTAATGAAAAGAATGTGAAGTACTTCTTTTCACGTAAGGAAAACAATGCTGACTTACTAATAGAATCGAAAAACTCTATAAATAATGAGTCAGTAGTCGAATGGAAAGCGAGTACAACATCTACTTCTTTTTAAATGTAAGTCAATCTAAAGATTAGAAGTGTATTCATACATAATTTCTGAACCTGAGTACTTATTATTTCATTGTTATTATTATTATTATTATTATGAATATTTATTATTTAAAAACTACAACAATCAATAATTTGTTGGTTGGTATAAAATATAAACAGGGAAGATAGACAATTTGTGGAAAAAAATTTAATTGTAGTTTAAAAAATTGTTTAATGTCAAGATAAACTTCTTTGCTGGATTTATGGTAGTATATTTATCCAACAATAGACGTATGTCCGACTTAATGGTTATTAATTTATGTTCCCATAATCAATTGCAAAAATTAAAAATATATAGAAAGTAAAACTGTTAAAATATATCGAAAAATAATTTTCAAATAATTTTAAAAATTGATTTTCGAGACTTTCCTAAATCAATCGGCTTTGCGACAGAAAAGATTCAATGCCTTAACATACTAGGGGTACTTATCTAAACTGTTAAATGCCTTATAAACCTTACAAATGTATAAATATATTTACTTGGTAAATAAAGTGTCATATTTTATATAAAAAATAGTTTACACAACTTGATAAATTTACAGGAAAATTTTGCCGAATAAATTTATATCGTATAAATTTATTTGTTGTCAATACACAGTTGTATTCCAACACAAGCAAAAGTTGATATAAATAGTGTTATCATACAACAGATCGATAAATTTACACAAATATTTCATTAAGTGCGTTCATATAACCGTGTACGTAAAGGCATAAAATTATAAATTTGATACTTGTATGAGTTCCCTTATTATTTAACAAACGTATCAAAATAAAAAGCAGAATTTGGCAGAAACTGATTTGTCAGCAACCTCTTGAAAAATTTGAGGGGTTAATTGATTATTCAGGACTGGATGAATAACTCAAAAGATTTAATTGTTCGCATCTTTTAGTTTCTCACGTGCAAAATCTGTACGATGATTAAGTTTACAGCTCCATCTGGTAGAACTTGCAGGAAAATGAATTTTTGAGTTTCTGGAACTGAAATATGTATGAAAATTGATTTGGTACTAATTATCACTAGAACTTATGGGAACACATACTATGAGATTTGGAAACTAAACAGTTAAAAACAAAATTTTACTACTGTTGGAAAACAAGAGGGAAAATATATGTATGTCATGTAGAACCCCTTAAGTTTTCCTTAGCACAACAAAGATATAATCGTGACGACACAAGATCGAAGAAAATAGAAACAGGACTTGTAAATTGTGGTCATATATAGATTTAGATAAAGAGGGCATAGAGAAATAAAAAAATTATGTATTAATATCCCTTAAATAGTTTATAGAAATATCTCTCATTTTAATAACTCCACGTGACAACAGCACGTGGAGAACTGTGAAGTTAAATAAAAATATTTTCCGGGTATAAATTCTACAAAAATTAGAACTGGACCATAGGTCGGCATGGAGCTAGGTGGGCTGCCCTGTGGTATCTCTGTAATGCGTGTCTACCAGCTCTGGAAGAAAGGACACCAGAACATCTGATATGTTTATGTCTAGCTTTGGCCAGAACTAGGCTTAAGTTTCTGGGGACTCCTTTCTTCAACACACTCGGCGATATCTCAAGCAGTAGCATTGGCCAGATTCTTGCCTTTATAAATGCCTCTGGTTGGTTCTAGTTTAACCTTCTCTCTTCTAATAGTGGTATTACGAGGTTTTGAGGATTCAAAACGACTTTTTTAGCTAATTGAGGAGGACTCGTTCTTTCTTCCACCACAACTAACTAAGTAAGAACTGTTTAACGAAATATTATTTCTTAATAGTGTGAAAAATGTGTGTTAATATTGCCAGTTAAAAAAATTTAAAAAAACTACTTTTTCACCTAATAAAGAACGTACATTTTGACAACAAATCCGATTCTGCGCAATGTTCATATCTGGAAAATTTTTTGAATGAAATTCCGATGGACTCAACTGGTGCGACGATTATCATACACGCAATCATTTTGAGTAGTGGAGTATCTATACATGCACTCACAGTAACAGCTGCAAATATAGAAAAAATCAATAAGTGAAAAATTAATCACTCGGAAAGAGTACAGCAATATGCTACTGCAAAAATTTGGTTAGTAGAACTACTTTTATATAATTTCCAAAAAAATGGAAAGAAAAGTTGAGAATAACTGTTGAAAACTTTTCATTAAAATAAAATTACTTTTAGGAGCAGCGGCAATGGCTAAAAAGTACATGGTACTTGCTATTTTATTGGCATCAGCGAATTGTTATGTGCACGCCTATACTCCCATATCAAAGGAAAATATATTTGCGGATGTTTTACTTTCGGAAATATTGAGTCGTATGGATAAGGATATGGATCCGCTTAACAATAATTATTTCGATATGGACGCAGATTTACCAAAAGCAGTTGATTTAGTTTCACGTTCTTCTAAGAATCACCCATCCGAGGATTACGAGTATCGTAGCATGTTTGGTGGTGCCTCACATCCATCAATACGTGATCAAGAATATTTGCCACATAATTCACTTTGGGGTCATCAATATGTATCTGGCGGAATGGGTGAGGTACCTAATCGTTACAATACTATTGTTAAGACCGATGCTAGTTTACCTGCTTACTGTAATCCACCAAATCCATGCCCATTTGGTTATGAGGAGAGCCAAGGTTGCATATCAGATTTTGAAAATACTGCTATTTTTAGTCGTGAATTTCAAGCAGCACAGGAATGTACCTGTGATAATGAACATATGTTTGATTGTGCTGGTCAGGATAGGAGCGCCAATAATAATGAAATGACCTCTACAATGGAAAAATTTTTAATGCATCAATTCCAGAATGATAATGGCATTGATAATACTAATGCAGTGGTTAAGAAGTTTTATAATTTTGGTAAATCTGACGGAAATAATCCTTTCTTACAAGGTGAGAAATTGCCAATTGCAGCCAAAAAAGGCGATCATATTCAACTCTAAATTATTGCAGCAGCCAATCGTACTTGTACTTACTTGAGAAACAAATAAATAAATTAAAAATAACAAAAAATAACAAAAAAAAAACAAAATCACGAAAAGATAAATATAAAATGATAGCACATTTAAATTTAAATTCTGTAATTGTTACCACAACTTAATGTAGTGATTTATGCGTTTTTATAGTATATAAGAAAGAAATATATATATCTAACTCTATATCAACTAAAGCATCTGAAATAAACTGATACTGTTGTCAAATGAAAATGTTCTAAGTTTAATGGATCCATTGTTGTGAAATGTTAGTGCATTTAATGATCCAAACTAAAATCTGTTAAAAATAAATAAATAATATAATCACATAACATATGTTTTATATGTTTCCCATTTCTCTAGATTCGTTGCAGCTCTCATATAAGTTCTTTAAATAGGAGTTGTGAAAACTAGGACAATATAAAAATGTCAAAGAATTAACTACAAATTAAACCACCTTCACTTAACGCATGTATGCAGTCAATACTCATCTACTTCAAACATATACCTCTATAAAAATATTCTCAACGTTTAAAATTAACTCATGCATGAAGTCAGTACTCATCTACTTCAAACATATACCTCTATAAAAATATTCTCAACGTTAAAAATTGTTCAAGAAATATATGCAATATATAGTAGAGACTCGGCATCTGATAATTTTTCCACAAATAAACGTACTTTTGGCGTTTAATAATAAAACTAATACAAATTTATAAAGTATAATTAAATATAATTCAATTTGAAATTTAAAAGTAAGCAAATTTAAATTGCATATTTATAGGAGCAGAAACTTATATCCTGGAAGAAAGTAATTTTTTTGTCTAGGAATATATAACATTTCTATTAGGACTAAAAATTTGGATTCTTGTAAATTTTCTTCTTCAATTAACATTTTAATATTGTAGAAAAATATAGGAATATTCTACATAGACTTTCTTAGAAACAAAAATGTATTTTCTTTAACTGTAAAACATCCAAAAATGGATAAAAAAATTTTTACGTTTTTAAATTTTAACTTTTATTATGCAGAGAAAACGCCGTAAGAGGTGAAAAAAATGTCTTGTGGATGTCATATCCCTCAGATGAGAAAATTATGATGACCAAGAAACCCTCAATAAACATGTCACTAAAACGGTGGCACAAATGTACAGACATCATATTTATGGTATATACAAACTTTATGACTCTTAATAACTTATATCAGAGAAATTTTAATTTTTTTTTAAATGTTATATACACTGGGTATTTAGGTAATACCACTTGATTCCTAGCTGTCAGATTTTGTTGGACATTTACTGTCTCTAAAATCCTTGCAGGATTTTAGTCGAGAGCTTTAATGACTGCCTGAATGTCTGACATGTCTAGACTTTTTTTACGTGATTACCTGCCTTATTGACTCAACACTACGGTGTTCTAAAGACACGTATTAAGATAATGCGCCGATAGATGACCCATTGGAATTCCAAAAAATTCTGCCGGTTGCAATTGAATTATGTATTTCGTATAACTTTCCCCTTGGTAAAGAGTGGGGCCCATCAAACGTCCCATGATTTTTGGGTCACAGTATCCGGTATAAAAGCGTTAAGTCAAGCTGAATGAAAGTAAATAAATACCACCATTTTTCCCGCATAAATTCGGATTTTAACCACAACCACCTCGACACTGTCAACCTTAATTAGTCAGAACAGCAGGCAATGAACCTACACATCTTCGGTTGGGTGACGTAAGTGAAAATTCACTCACTACCATTTACATTTCAAGCAGTGTCGGATGGTGGAGTGGGATTTTATTCAACAGTTATTCCTTACCTCGAGAATACTCTTACCGCTGACCATGTTTGATATGAGGATTATCTTCTTTTGTCGTAAAAGAAATAAAAAATTTGACTTGACTTGATAAATATTTTGTCGAATTTAGCTGTTTCGTCGTTCAAATTGAAACAATAAACTCAGGCAGTGAGGATAAAACTTTTAACTTTTAGCTGCTAATAGCTAATAAACTTAGCTCTAAGTTTAAGTCTTAATGTAATGAATATCAACATTCGACGTGTTAAAAAACCCTTATCGTTGAGTACCTGAATTTATTAAAAGTGAACAAATTCTAAAATATCTATTCAAAGTATACTTAGCAATGGTGGATTTTCCGATAGAAATAGACAATAATATTTAAAAATTATACAGTAGGTCTAGGTCGCTAGCGAACTATTACATAGTTTACGATTATAACTCATGTAGTATCCACATAGTCAATCATTTAAATCCTCTCCAAATTACTTTACAAGGACAGTAGCAAATTTTAAAATGCCAAT